CTTCTTAAAAGGCAATGAAAGTTGTAAAATCATTATTTTTTATGTGAGAAATAAGAATTTCAGACCCTAACATAGACTTGTTTGGGCTTGCCTCGAGGGGTGTGGTTGGGGTTCCGGGGGCACAGCCCCTGGCCCAGCCGTTAGACTCAAAAAACAGCAAAAAGCGCACGCCTGGGATGAGGCGCACGCCTAGGCGCACCAGGTGCGCGCCTTTTGAAGGAGGTGCACCTAGGACCTGGGCGAGGCGCATACCCCAAAATGCGCCTAGGTGCGCTTTTTAAATGACTGAACTCGCATACCCAAAAATTACAAAAAAATGCAGGGAATGCAGGAAATGCAGAAACAAATGGAATAAAACAGCTAGAGATTCAATTATTGGATTAAATAAACAAAAAGAACATAATAAGACTAGAAAGAATGTATAAAATCCATATTAATCTATGATGTGGGCTGCAATTCTAGGGAAAAACACATTTAAGGCTGTTTCTATAAGTCTATAACAAGTAAAAAAAGGGGCTCAAAAGAAAGGCACATTTAACGCTATTTGGTAGCATGTTCCAGCGGAAGCAACCAGTGACAAAGTCAACAGCTGGGTGAGTCATAATCCATTGGAAAAGGAACAACTGGAATTACTCTATCTGTTGTACATATACTTCTAATATACAATATTTAAGTTAGTAAGTTATTTCTGCATCTTTAAATGTCTTAGGAGTGAAATGTATATTGTGTACTGATTGTATACAACATAAAAGGCCAGAGAAGATATTAGATAATTTAGATGTTTTGATTGATATTTCTCTCAAATGGTGGCTGATGAGGGCGGATTTGGCCCTCCAGTGAAAATATGACACCTGGCACTTCATGCCAACTAGGGGCAGCTCGGCATAGGTAGCTCGCCACTTAGGGGCAGCTCGGCACTTACAAGCAGCCTAGCGTCTTACGAAGAGCTCGCCACTTAGGGGCAGCTCGGCACTTACAGGCAGCCTGGCGTCTTACGAAGAGCTCGCCACTTAGGGGCAGCTCGGCA